CGCCGGGCGCGTACCCAGGTACTGGCAGACCAGGCCCTGCCCTGGGGCAACGGCGTTCTCCACGCACACGAACATGTAGTTCTTGTAGTCAGTGTCCAGCACGTGGAGTTTGCTCCCCTCCGGGTCTGGAAGGGAGACCAGACGGGGCAAGATAAGTCTGGGCGCTTCTGTCCAGCAGGAGGGGAGTGCTGGTCAGCTTTGGTGTTCGGCCCCCTGGCAAGGACTGGGTGGGGAGCGATCCTGCATGGCTGTCCCCTCCAGTGGGCTCTCGCCATTCACTGTGATCCCCACCTGAGACATCCGTCACCTTTGGGACTCAATCCGAGACGTCCCGCCACATCCCCGTGTCCTGGGACCCAGAGTGGTTAAGAAATGGGGTTTCATGCTGATCTCGGGTGAGACTGGGCACCACCGAGTGAGGGAGAAGAGGACCTAAGACACGGTCCTAAGACACGGTCCTAACTGAGGGGCACAGGGAGCGAGCGACATGGGGCTGGTGCAACGGCAGTCAGCGGCGCCACCGGGCGCGGTAGGCTCCTGAGTGGCTTCCAAGGTTGGGCCAGTGTCTGGACCCCACTGCGGGTGGATGCTGCCGGAGCCCCTGGAGCCCCTGGGCAGCTGCCCGGCATCGGTCGGTGGTCATTGTGTAGCCTCAAGTCAAAGTCATCTGGCGGTCCGGCCGAGGGAAGGGAAGGCAGGACTTGGCCCTGGCGGCCCGGTGGGGGGACAGCCCCAGTGGAAGCTCCCCCACCCATGGCCTTTTCTGTCTTGGATTTAGTGAGAAATGAGCTGAGGACCAGATGAACCCCAAGCCTGGGCGATGGAGGAACCTACGTGACTGGCTGCGGTGCCCTGGCAGTGGCTCTCAGCTACACCCAGGTGGCCTGGGAGGACAGGGCAGGGGGTGGGCACACACAGGAGCTACCTGAGCTCAGGGGAGGGACAAGACACGCCCTCTCTAGAGAGAGGGCACACACGTAGCCTTGGCACCTCGGGGAGTGAGGCCAGCCCAGCGGGTATCTGCCTGTGGTCACCTAAGGGTGGAGCAGCAGGGCAGTGAAAGCTGGTGTTGGTGACAGTGCCAGCACCGCCACCACCCCCCAGGGCCCGGGGGAGCATTGGCACAGAGCCAGCACGTACAGTTGATCTTGAACTCGGCCGGAACCTCAGTTTTCTCTGCCAAGATCTTCCTGTCGACACAGCTGCCATCCTCCCTGGAAGACATTGGTCCCCGTGAGACCCCTTGAAGACTCTGTTGTGACAAAGCCAAACCAAGGGGCGGGCAGAGCCACTGGCTCCGTGGGGATTCCCAGGAGAGAGGGCATCTGGTCCCCCGGGGCTGGGACCGGCCCAGGCTGCACTCACTGTAACCCTTCACAGCCACAGGAGAGCAGGTTGGACAGGACCACGAGTCGTCAGATGGAGGCAGAGGAAACGGGCTGGGAGTGCCATCGGCCATGGTCAGGGGCACTGTGGACCCGGAATCTCCCAGCCCCACTCCCTACCCTGGGGCACCGTGCTGCCCACAGAAGAGCCAGCTCCCATCAGGAGCCCTGCCCACCCCCCGCCCTGGAGCCAGGCCGTCGGGGTTTAGCCCGGGACACCCACCATCTGTTCAGGACAATCTCCAGGCTGTCCTTGGGGATGAGTCTCAGCTCCTTGACGTACACTCTCAGAGGGGCGCTCTGAGTGTTCAGCAGGGAGATGTCGCTGGCCGCCATGGCCACGGAGTACCACGTCCCAGCCACCTGGGGGTGGGGGGTGCATGAGCTGCGGCGGGGAGGGTTCTCGGGGCGCCCTGACCCCTGCCTGGGCCAGCCCTGGGACCCTCCTCTGCTGAGCTGAGCCGTGTTCTGGCTACCCCATCTGAGCCCAAGCAAGGACCTTTGGGAGCCCACCTGCATGAGTCAATGGGGAGCGCTTGGATCTTGGGGAGACATGTGGTTGGAGATGAAAAAAGTCGGGGGCACGGGGGCCTTGTTAGGAGCTGAATTGTGTCCCCCCAAATTCATAGGTTGAAATCCTGACCGCTAGCACCTCAGAACATGACTATTTGGAGATGGTTCTTTAAAGAGGTGATGGAGGTAGAGTGAGCTCTCTAGCTTGGGCTCTGTGACCTTATAAGAGGAGATGAGGACACAGAAGCGTGCAGAGAAAAGGCCGTACGGCGACACAGGGAGATGGACATGGCCGTCTACAAGCCCCGGAGAGGGACCGCGGGAGGAACCAGCCCTGCCCACACCTGGCCCTCGGACTCCCAGTCTCCAGGATGAGGGACAATAATGTGTGTTGTGTAAGACCCCGCCCCCCTCGCCCCGTCCATGGAGATTTGCCATGGCCACCCCAGCGACCTCACGCAGACCCCTGACACCACAGCCTCCTCTGTGCTCTGAGGCCCCGGCTTCCCGTCCGCCTGCAGCTCATCACCCACCCCAGGCACCCCCCTGCAAAGCTCCCTCTCCCCAAACCTTCTGGACGTCTAGGTCCTCCGGGGTGGTCCGGGGGATAAACTTGGCCTGGGTGCCACACACGAGGGCCACGCTCAGGGCAAGCAAGAGGCACTTCATGGCTGCAGCTGTGGACGTATTTCTGAGCTCCAGGAGTGAGGGAGGCTGAGGCACGAGGCTGAGGCAGGGGACCCGGGGCTTATATAGGAGGACGGCGGGCCGGGGCCCCTCCACTCGCTTCCCAGAATCCCCGTGGCTCTTCCTCAGCCCCTGGTGGCTTCCTCGACCGGGACAATGAGAGGCCTTCTCTATCTGAGTCCAAACAGGAAGGTCCCCTGTGTCCCCGGGGCCTGGGCATTTCCTGGAAGGGCCCAGAAGGGAAGAGTCTGTGGCACAGGTCCAGGCTGGCTGCCAACGTCAGGGACGCTTCCTGGGTCGGGCTCATGGACAGTGACAAGGCAGAGCCAGCCCTGAGGACAGCGTGTCCCGAGGGGAGGGCCCAAGGGCTGGAGTGCCCGTGCTAGTACCAGGCTCCCTGGACACCTCGTCTGTGTATGGCCATCTGTCCCGCACGAGGGACCACATTATCACCCCCATTTCATTTCTCTTTTACCAGCTTTAACTGCCTCTCTCCCCTCCCAGCTGGACAGGTCCCCTTGAGAGGCTGTGGTCCCTTTCTGGTCTCCCCCTGTTTCTGCTTTACTCCCCTGCCTCGGGCACCAGCTCCTGCACAAGCTGCGGCCATGGTCTTGGGTGGACAGGTCTCCTCTGAGGTCACCACACCCCACTGTAGGTGGGGGAGGGGAGTGAGGCTCAGATTGCCACCCCGCCTGCATTTGCTGCTAAGAGTAATATCAACGGTGACAGTGACAGTGACAGTAATCACCAGGGTCGTCCAGATGCAGGTCCAGATGGAAAAGTGACCAGACCTCCCAGTGGGGAGCATGGCAGGGCCAGCACAGCCTGCCCCGCATGGGTAAGTGTGACAGAAGTGTCCACAGTGTCAGAATCTTCAGTCTACCAAGTCTTAAATTTTAAACCCACTAAAGCCCTCATCCCACACCACGTGGAGGCACGCTGCCGTGAGCGGCCTGGGAGTCGTGGTGTGCTGGCACCAAGGTGACCCTGACTAGTTTGGAGGGGACAGAGCAAGTCACAGAGGAAGCTATCTCACTGATTCCATGTTGGCAAACAGCGGTGGGAGGTGTGTGCTCAGTGCCCCGTGCGAAGGCCATCGCCTGACATCACACGTGCTTACCCGCTCATCTTGGGGGAGAGGTGGTCATCGGGGAAAGGGGAGGGGAGAGCTGCCAGTAAGGTGTCCTAGAGAGGGGCAGCCTCTGTCTCCTGATGGTGAGGACCCTGGAGAGGTCGGTCCCCCAGGGGCCTTTACATGTGGCCCACAGCCTGAGCTGGGACCTTGTCATCCACGTGTCATTGTCGCCATCTTGAATGGAGGCTAAAGCATCTCCTAGACTAGCTCTGCTTTGTTATCTGGCCGTTGGCTGCTTTCCCGTAGAGGCCATTTAATAATGTACTCAGAGCCCACCTACAGAAGAAATAACCCCAGGCCGCCCCAAACCCCTTTTCTAAGGGGGGGGGGTAAAAAAGGAGGCGACTCAGGTGGCCCCAGCCCCACCGGTCAGCCAACTCAGACAAGGTCCTCCTCTCCTGGTGACCAAGACCCACAGACTCTGCTTCTCACCGGGGTGGGTGCCAGTCCCAGCGTGGGCACCATCCCAGCTCAGGGTGGCTCTGCATCCGCAGATGCCTCGTATAGACCATCATTCCTAAGTCTGTTGAAACTTTGTGGGAAGTTGAAGGAAAGCGGGGTGGGGGTGGGCAAGGAGGTGACGCTCACAGTTAGGAGACCTAGGATGACCTGAGTGAAATGAACTTCCCAGCATCTGCCGTTTATCAGCAGGCACTGGACACTGTGACCCTGCCCGGGCCCCTCGCTGTACCATCCCGTGTAATCCTTGCACCCACCCTCTCAGCCCGGTCTTCCCAGATTTTGTGTTTTAGGATGAGCAGCTCAGCTTGCTAGCTTGAGTGGTGTCGCCCAAAAACTCATGTCCACCTGGAGCCTCGGAAGGTGGCCACTAGTTCAGATGAGGCCACCCTGGAATAGGGTGGACACTAGTCCAGTGTCTGGTGTCCTTATAGGAGGAAACAGGGACAGAGAGGGGACACAGGGAGGACAACAGAGGCAAATATGGAAATGATACGACTGTGAGCCAAGGAGTGTCCGCATCCAGGCACCGGGGGAGGCAGGAGGGACCCTCCCCAGAGCACCCAGAGGGAGTGCGGCCTGCAGCACCCTGACTGCTGGCCTCAGAACGGAGAGAATGAAGTCCTGTAGTTAGAAGCCCCCATTTGTGGTCCTTTCCTTCGGCGGCCCCCAGCACACCGGCTCAGGCAGCTTAGACAGGCGTCCACGGGGACCCAGGTGTCAGAGGTGACAGGCTGTCCTCTCAGATACCGCTTGGCAGGGTCACGCAGAGCAGAGGGAGGTCAGCCAGGGACAACAGATGTCCTGTTTCCTTGTAAGCGTGGGAAATGCTGGCTGCCCACAACCGCAGGGCACCTTTCCTGCTGTGTTTCTGTCAACAGTGGCCGCAAAGCATGCTTCTCAGGCCACAGCCCGTCATAATTTCCAGGGAGAGCAATCCACGGAATACCTTAAAATCAAAGGAAAAAGCAGCTGCTGGCCTCGAGCAGTGGCATCATCCAGTGTAGGAGGGACACAACGTTCCCCAGGTCGCTGCCCAGTGAGTGGGACCTGGAAGTAGACTTGGCCTCAGTGGGCACTCAGCAATGGGGTCGGGGATCAGGCCTGTAATTACAGAAGCGGGAATTACTTTCTTAGAATGGAGACGTGTCAATGGGCTTTGGCTCAGCTGAGAACGCAATGCCCTTCGATGCCCAGCCTTCCCCCCCAGGCCTCCTCCCTGCAGCCCTGAGTCCAGGACACCGGGAAGCAGCAGTGGGTTTATCAGCGCTAGTCTGGGATTTGTGGTCACAACCGTTGCCCCAGCGCCAGGCACCCCCAAGCATGGACCCACCGCCAGGGGCCACGCTCTGCCTGGGAAGCACACCTTTCCCGGGTGGGGACTCAGTCCACACACATTTGCAACAAGCTCTTTCCCACACCAGCACGGGGCCTCAGCAGTGTTCCCCCCACAGCAAATAAAATACATCATGCCACCACCCCCAGATGTGCCGCCAATCGGCGCCTCCTAACAGCCAAGATACTGCCGCTACAGGACAGTATGGCAGTTCCTCAAAAACTAAACACAATGACCCTGTGACCCAGCGATCCCACTCCTGGGTGACACTTGAAAGAACTGGAAGCGGGTCTCAGGGAGATTTGCACCCCACGTCCACAGCAGCCAAGGGGTGGGAGCAACCCCAGTGTCCACTGACAGAGGACCGGATAAACCAAACGGGGTCCCTCCACACAGTGGAGTGTCACTCAGCCCTGAAAAGGAAGGCGGTCCTGACACCAGCTACCACGTGGATGGACCCTGGGGACAGTGCGCAGTGAAATGGGCCC